TAAATTCTTGGCATATTTTTGTTGTATTTGCTGTAATTTTTTTGATCGGAAATTAGTTTTTGTGGTAAGCAAGTGTGCTTCTTTTTTTCTCTTCCTGTTAGTTCGTTTATAACAGCCCAAGTCCTTTTTATGTCTAATTTATGCTTGTCAAGCTAATTAGAAAAATACCTTATTTTTTCTTCTTTCATACTATGTTAAAAAAACTTTTTATAATTTTTGTATATTTTTTCATCTAGTTTGTTTTTGATTTCAAAAATTTTACGTAAAGTTTTCTTTTTGATGCTTTGATTAAAGTTATTGTCATCCATGGGTTCTTATATTCTTTGTTTTTTGTTTCTGTAGTTATTTACGGGCATACATTATCAAAGATATTTTGCAATGTGTTTGAGAAATGGTCAAACGCAATGTTAGGATCTGTTGATGAGTATACTTTATCCCATTGTTCTACTTGTAGTTTGTTTTTAAAATTATTTAAGTTTTTTTATAGAAAGATTTCTGTAAGTCACAAAGCATTTCTTATTCTCGATATTAGATAGTACTTTGCGTGCAATATGGAAAACGGGATTATGATCAGAAAAGCCTGCAATAAAGAGTCCTCATTCAAATTTAGTATTTAGGGAAAAGTTTGTTAAAATATTGTCAATCACAGAAGATGATTGACTAGTAATGCGCGTGGGTTTAAATATGGTGGGTATTATGTTAAATTCAAATAGTAAATTAAAAAAGTTTTTTATGTTTGCAAACTTTTCATAACTTAATGCGTCCATATTTGTATCTCCGGCAAAAAAAACGTGCTTGTTTTGTTTACTCATTTGAGACATAATCGTTTTTAGTATATTAAGGAAGTTAACTTGTTTACCACATGGCGGTCGATACAATGAGAAGAATAAAAACGATTATTTGTTTATTTGTTTTTGAAAAAGTGCTGCTTTTTTTAAATTCAAATTTATCAAGAATATACACTGCAACGCCACCTCCCTTGCTGTTTACACGAGGTTGACTTATCATTTTATATGAAACTAAATTGTATAGGGAATTTTCTGACATGAGCAAGTTTGCATCTTCCCAAGTTTCTGATAAACATATTACGTATTAAAGAAAATTTAAAGAATAAAAAAAATGTTTAAATAATTCAAAATTTTTGTTCATTGACCGTATATTTATTCTTAAAATGTTTAAATCTTTGTTAAGCTTTTTTTCTCTTAAATTCTTCCGGTGTATAGTATTCATTATTTAAGCATTTAATATCTATTTCAGTCAAAAAATTATAATCATTTTTGTTATTTTTCAAAATTTCAAAAATTGGAGATATTAATTATGTTAAATTTGCTTCATTATTATGAATTGTTTTAGATATATTCATTATTAATATTATCTTTAAATAATAACTTTAAATATTATTTTTAATAACAAAAAGTTCTTTACGAATTCGCATTGTTTCATCACTATAGTCTTCGTTAATATATATATTTTTCCCCTTGAGTTTACGAGCGTTGGATAAAATGTGTTCCTTGTCCTGCCAGTTTAATAATTTGCAGACAATATTTCTAGGCTTTCCACTAAACTTACCGACACGATGTGCTCTTTTTATAATAACTGGACCCGCAATTTCAAGGTCTTCTTTAATTAGTAGGTTTACTTTTTTTACAACATCATTAAAAGATTCGTTATTTTCTTCTTTGATTCCAACAATTCTTAAATTGTTATGTCGGTTTCGATTCTCAAGATCGACAGTTTTTCTTTTATTTTCAATCGACTCGCTGCTTAATTTTCCGTGGAATGATTTATACCCACAATAGTTTCTTTAATTTCTGCCAATTTACTATCAACCTTGCTTACTTTTGTCTCAATTTGATCACCAAATAAAGTAAGCCCACGTTTTATTTCTTTAATGTCTTTGGCTAAGTTCTCAACTTTTCAAAGGACACTGACCAAACTTTTAATTTAAAAATTGTATCTCCTTGTATTGACAATAATTCTCGTAGCAATATATGTAAATATACATATATTGAACTCATAAACCAAAATATTTAATTTATTTATCAATATTTTTAATTTTTTTTTTGTTTTCAACAAGAACTTCATTAAGAACTAAAAAATCTGTGTTTAGATCACGAAAAAAAATAAGTGTATAACTTCAAAAATTAAATTTAATGATGGTTTTGGTCTGTTACAGAAAAAGATAAAGAGATATCATATTTTCAAATGTTGTTGTTTTTTTTTGTTATGAAGTTTAAAATATACATGTATCTTTTTATTTACCCTTACGCATTTTGGTTTTTCAATATAAATAAATAGCAGTTTTTTAAATATAGGTAACTGACATTCCAGTGGTCACAGCCAACTACTGTTTATACTTTTTGGCAGAAGTTCATTGCACTCTCATGCATGAGAAGACAATCAAGTTGGTCAGGCATGTTTTCGGAAAAAGATAGGGGTCTGTGTTTTTATATATACACACAGGGCTTATTAATTTATTTAATACATGTGTATATACATGTCATGTGTGCGTGTATATATATATATATATATATATATATATATATATATATATATATATATAAAAGCATAAAATTAGCTCCAAAAAGTATCAGTTTTCATGATTTTCAATATCATCAAACAAAGGTTTTTAAAGTGTAACAAACTTAGCAAAAAAATGACCAGTTTTCGCTCATTTTTTTGCTAAGTTATTGGTGTAAAAGAGGGGGGTCAAAAGTGATCTGATAGCGCTCAAATTTCTTGAGGTTTATTTTTTATGTATTTGCACAAAATTTAGCGGGTATGGTTTTTTACATTTAAAAATTTTTTCTTTTTTTGAATACCTTAATTTTATATATATATATATATATATATATATATATATATATATATATATATATATATATATATATATTTATATACGGAAAAAAACACATACTGAAACTTTTTAGTCCTTGTGTAATAAGGTTAAAAGTTCAAAAAATTCTCGACCAAGAGGTAATCCACAGTTTAGAGTGGTAGCCCTCTTATCAAATACTATTTTGAATAACTTAAAAACTATTGGATCAAAATGACGTTGAAAAACAATGGAAAAAAGTAAGCAAATTGATGCTTTGGTAAACAGACTATCAGCAGCAAATTCAAGAACAACAAATGAATAACCATTCTACCTTGACATGGCAAAAAGGAACCAAATTGTCAACTTAGCACCAGCCGAAATAAAGACAAGAAAGGAGAAAGAGCCAAATGTGGTCATTGTAGGACTCAAAAATCAACAAGCGTAAGCGATGAAGAGCTCGTCAACTAGTTTTTTGATACAAAAAGAGAAAAAGAAGACAAAACAGCTATCAAAAATGTGAACAAAACAACAGAGCCAGTTGGGGTTATCCAAATAGTACTTAAATCTGCAATCACCCAACGTGAGGCACTGAAAAATGGTAACTACCACAACATAGAAAAATTCACACGAGTCTACACACGCGAGGACCAAACTCTAGCCGAACAAGAAGCAATAAACAATTTATTAAACGAGAAAAAGCGAAAGAATGAAGAGCTTGTAAAGGCAAAATTGGATAAGCCCTTTCGCTGGATCATCCACAGACGTACTTGGTCTGTGCGATGCATTGATGTCGAACAATCCAGTAACAACAAGAAGTGTATGTGGATCAGCAAAAATCAGTTCAACGAAATTAAATCAGTCACCGCCATCAGTAACAACAGCAATCAAAATAATGCTGCAACCACTGCCACCACGTCGGCCACGGCAAGCACAGCTCTAGCCTAAATCTCACCATCCTGACTCCAACACATTTAGTCTCCAATCTTCTGCCACTACCATTAAAGCCAATTGCAAACAATTCAATTTTTGGGCAAATAATCCACGCTCACTGATCGATGCCAAACGAGATAAGCTGATTGAGAGAATAGACATTGAAGAACCAGCAGATTAACCAGACTTTCTCTTCTTCGCAGAGTCACGCGTAAGACATTCGACTACCAGGATACCAAACACACAAAAAAAACAAAGCAGGTAGGGGAGGATGTGTTGTAATATACATTAAAAATAATATTCCAGTATCTGAATCAAATGTAACGCAATTGAATTCATCGGACATAGAGCAAGTATGGCGAGTTATAAAGTTAGGTAAAAAAGTCAATTCTCCTGGGTTGCATTTATCGTCCGCAGGACAACGACAAAGTAATGCTTGAAAATGTGATAATTTCAATAGATATTGCAAAGCAAAGCATCTCAAAACTGAAATGATCATCCGTGTTAGTCTACGGCGACTTCAACTTCAGTCACACAACATACAAAGAATTTGACATGGATGGAGCATCAGCAACAGTTGCCCATGTACAAAATGAGTATCAAAGTAATATGTTATTCCAACAATGTCTAAACATGAACTTCCTTACACAAATAGTAACGTTTCATACCTATAGAAGAAATAGAGAAGAAAAGCCAATAAGCACGCTTGACTTACTTATCACAGACGAACCGATTTATCGACCTACGTAAAGGCGACTCACTAAGTCACACACCAGCAGGTGAATCACATTGCTTCATCATTGGTTTATTTGTAACAAACAACGACAGAATGACAGAAAACAACGAAAAGAGGTATTTATGGACCAGAGCAAACTACGATGCTATCTCAGCACAAATAATAGCCATCGATTGGATAAGTATCTTCAATTTTTTTTCAGCTAACGACAACTATAAATTACTAATAGAAAAAGTTAATGAAGCAATACTCTCAACTACGTTACCTTTCAAGAGTAAAAAAGAACCGTGGAAGACCCCTGAAGTTGAAGTAGCTGTGAGAGAGAAGAAAGCACTATGGCGCAAATGCTTAGCAGCTGGTAGATGGACGCATGAGGAAATTCGTAAGGAATACAAAGCAGCATGTAAAAGACTCAGCAAGATGGTGAAAGCAGCAACAGTTGACTATGAGTTAGAGATTGCAGCACGTTTTAACTATGACCCAAAACAACTTCATAACCAAGTTAAGCATTAGCAAATGGAAAATGAAATGGTAAAATCTCTTGAAAACGATGTAGGACAAATAACTACAAGTATGCAAGAAACTTCACATTTACTTAATAATTATTTTCAGTCTGCATTTGTTGTTGAGCCTCTAGATGAAATGCCAAACTTTAGAGATCGATCCCAAGCAAAGTGCAATTTAAATGAAGCTACAATCACGCATGCAGCTGTACAGCAAAAGCTTGAAAAACTATTTGAAACAAAATCTAAAGGGTGTGATGGAACGCACCCTCGTGTACTTCGCAATTGCGCTGCTGCAATCTCCGTACCATTAACAATTATCTACCGTAGTTCCCTCTCTGAAGGTAAAGTACCCAAGCTATGGAAACTGCCAAATATAACACCAATCTTCAAGACCGGTAGTAGAAGGAAGCGCTCAAACTACAGACAAATATCACTAACATCAGTACCATGCAAGATAATGGAAAGCTTCATTCATGAACGAATCATGAAGCACTGCTATAACAATGGTCTATTCTCAAAAGCTCAACACGGTTTTTTACCTAAGCGGAGCTGTGTGTCTAATCTACTAGAAGCTCGTGATATTCTGACAGATGCAGTACATCATGGCTATTCCATAGACGTGATATACACTGATTTTCCAAAAGCCTTCGACGAAGGACACAAAAATCTTCTGCATAAACTTAAAGGTTATGGTTTATGCGGCTCACTCTTCAGGTGAGTATCAAACTGGCTGGCTAACCGAAAGCAAATGGTTGTTGTTTGCAAAGCTGAATCTGAGTGGAAAAAAGTAACTAGTAGAGTACCTCAAGGATCGGCGCTAGGACCGTTGCTCTTTATCCTCTATATTAATGACCTACCGGACAACATAGCTCACCACATCAAGATGTATGCTGATGACAGCAAAGTTCTAGGTGTAATCAAAACAGAGGAGGACAAAGCACGTATCCAGCTAGATATTGATAGCGCTGTAGAATGGATCAAAAAGTGGCTATTACTATTTAACTAGGACAAATGCAAATGCATGCACTTTGGTCGCTCCACCAAATCAGTCTACGTCTACACAATGACTGATCAGATGGGAATAAGACAAGAACTGTATACGACTTCAGTCGAACGAGATCTAGGTGTTCTTCAAGTTGAAGCAAAAGCTGAAAAAAGAGCAAACCAGGTAATTGGTCGGCTTAAGAAATCCTTCAGAAGCAGAAATCTCATACTTTGGAAAGTCCTTTACAAATCGTATGTTAGGCCACACCTTGAATTCGTCATCTAATCGTGGTCGCCACATCTGAAGGGAGACATCAAGGCTCTCGAAAGCATTCAAAAACGTGCGACGAAGCTGATCACAGACATCAAACATAAATCATATGAAGAAAGACTTACAATACTTGGCTTAACCGAACTAGAAGATAAAACGAGTTAGAAATGATTTAATTCAGCAATACACAGGTCAGAAATTGACCTTTTAGGTTTGATTTTGGAACACCCCAAATATTTTTATAGATTCTATATACGAAGCGTTTAGGCTACACAAAACTGTAAAAATTAAAATCCTGCAGGTGGCATATTTTTAGAAAAAGCATTTAAAGGGAGCGGCCCTATAAAATTATCATGTTCAAGTGAACAAACTTCCAGAAACCCTGCAAACCTTAAATTTTTACATACTATTACCAATATCAAGTAATGATGTTCTGCCTAAAAAAAAAGAAAAAGTTATTATGGGAACATAGAAAATACGTCGTACCCCGAACGATTCGGGGCACCGACCCCAAACAGGGCAAATAAAAAAATTTGAAAAGTATTTTTGTATAATTTTATAGTAAACGAAATTTTATTCACAGAATTCAAATTTTTAAAAAATATATATTACAGTTCAAAAGTTATGACAAAAAAACGTTTTATTCCCCCTCCCCCTTGCAAAAAAATGAGGAGGTTCTAAATTTTACATGACCGTAACTTCTAAAGTACATATGATTTTTTTAAGAAACTTGAAATTTTATAATGAATTTCAATTTGGTCTAAGAAATTACAAAAATATTTTTCAAATGCACTTGGCCCCCTCCCAATTAGGGCAGGTGGCCTCAAATTTTTGGGTTTAATCACAGTTATTTTTTGGAAACAACTTTTTTTTTATAACCATATAATACCATGTGACTTTTTATACAAAAGATTTTAGCCTTCAAAATGTCTAAATATCATAAGCCCCTTTATTTTTAATAAACATTTTTTGTTTAGCTTCACTAAAACGAATTTAATAAAACATAGCTCAATAACATGTTCATGCTGGAAAAAGTTTCAGCAATTCGTTTATTTCTTTCTCCGTGCTTCGAGCTAAGGACAGATACATTAAATCTATTTACAACAAGCTTCATTATTTGGTGCGAGGCTTCTGTTAATTGTTCATTATATCTTGACAGAGAGCAGCTGTGCATATCTATGAAGGTTTCTAAGTGAGAACTTATTGCATGTACTTTCCATGTCACACTGAGGTTTTTATTCAAGAACTAAAATATATAAGTGTAAATAAAGAAAATATTTTAAGTAAAAGATGTTATTAAACATTAAAAGTTTATATCATAATTACTTCTGAACAGTATGTTTGAGAATGTTCAAAACTATCTGTAAAGTCTTGGATAAGCTTGTGATATTGTGGATCTAGTGGTTCACTAAATGTACCAGTCACAGCTCTGTCAAACTTCCTTAATGTATCAATTAAAGGGAACAGCTCTATCGGAATTACTAATGCAAGACTGTCTACATTTTTTAATATTGCCCTTGAAACATTACCATCATATGTACCTCCATGATAACCTTTTCGTATAACACCAAGACTAATAACCCATTTTTTTAAACCTGCCTAGAGTGGTATAATATAATTACAAATGTGATTTACGAAACCCATAAGAAGATGAAGTTCTGGTAAAGGTATTACGCTTATGACTAGTTTCTTTGGATCATCTACCTTTATAAGACAAGGCTTCACAACATTCTGAGTAAAAATAAATAAAACACAATATTAAGTTTTGTATAAAAAGCTCTTCATTAGATTAAAAATATATAAAAAAAATAGTATAATGACCTTAAAATTTATCATTTGTTTCTCAGGAAAGCCTGCATCAGCATACTGACGGAAACAGTTATCTAGGTCTCCAAAACTTCTGAGATTACCAGATTTCAGAACAGCGTCCCCGTCACACCAGGGACAACTGTATTTTCCACCGTGAGTCTATAAATATTTTTAGTTTAAAAAAATATTAATAGATTTAAAAAAAATAGTTCATTTAAAGAATAAATTGTAGTTATTTAAGTAATTTAAATACCGAAATTCCCAACAAAATGTTGATGAGTTTGAGGTCTGATGCCAGAAAATATTTACAGGTATGAAGTTGAAGTTTTTTAATTAATATTGTGAGGTTGCTATGTGTTTCTTGCATATCTTCACAGTATGCTAATACAAGAGCAGAATTTATTCCAGAGTAAGTTCCCATATCATTTCCATCAGTGACTCTGTGTTGGTTTGGGTTGAACAAGTTTGCAATAACTTTCATTGAACCTCCACCTTAAATGTTTTTATTTACTCATTATTCTTAAAACTTACAGTTTTCATTATTCATCTATTGTATTAAAAATCAAATGCTCAAACCTGAATCTATACCAACTCTAACGAAGGTATTGAGGAGATCCTGTTTTCTGTACTCAATAACAAACTCAAGATATTCTGTAATATCTTTAACATAAACTAAATCTCTTTTTACATGATTTAGTAACCCTTTCTTTTTATCCTCCAAAGAAACATTTTCTAAAACATAGAAGTTCTTAAGTATCTTTGTTTTATCATCCAATTTCTTTTCCATATTACTTTCAAACTTTACTCCATTTTGCCTGAAGGTCTTCAAGAGAACATTTGATTTGAACTGAGTCAAATGCAAATGAACAACTAACTTGTTAAACTCTGAAAACGGTATTTCTGTCTGCTTCATACTATTATGACCTAGAGTTATGGGGGCTTTGGAACCACCTATATAGTTGACAAAAATGTTTAGTTTGGTACAACATGTTATAAATATATACAAAGAAAGCAAGATTTATAACATACCAGTAGAAAACAGCATTTCTTCACCTTTTTCTGTATCATTTTTTGAGTATATATCTTTCAGAATATTGGTCATTAGTTGGCCTTGAACCTAAACAATGTGATTTTAAAATTGATTTTGCAAATGAGATAATAACAGGAAACTTTCAGATTTTAAATAATAATATTAGAAATAATTTTTAAAGAAATATATTTTATAAATATTTTACTTTAATATCTTTATTTAAGAAATAAATTGCCAGATTCTTTGATTCCTTTCCAGGACTGCATTTATGACGTATACCTTTACCAATAGCTTGAAAATATTTTTGACAAACTTTAAATATCAACTCTTGCAAATATCAACTTTTGCTGAAATTACTTTCTTTCATTAATTTGTTTATTTTTATTTAAAGAGTTATTTGATGAATTTAATTCAAACTAATTTTAAAAAAGTAAACATAATATAGAACCTGAGATTTTAGTAGTTGCCAATTCGCAAATTTTGCATATTTTGCAGCTCCTTCTGCAGTAGAAATCGCTTAAAGATTTTTTGCTCCATTTCAGTTTAACTGATGTTAAAAGAGGTCTTCCAGCTTTAACCAGGTACAGATTTCTTTTACAAGTAAGGCATAGTCCAGCTGGATACTTTATAACCTTAATACTATAGTCATCATGATAATGCTTTACAATGAGCTTTTCCAAACTTTCTGTAACTGGAATGCACTTAGTGCTTTTAGTAAAGCAACAAGCACAAACCAAAAGTCTGTTCAACTTATGAGATCTTTTAAACTTAAATCTCCTTCCTTTCTTCGATATTAAATAAGACATTATGAACTCTGTAAATTTAATAGTTACTAAAGTATCAAGAGTAAATTTATAAATAAACTTTAATTAAATAAATTTAAATACAGATTGCAAACTTTGTTTAACTCAAATTATTCATCATTACCTTTAAATAGCTATAAACAACGAATAAATAGTAATTAATGAAGTTAAGCTAATTTTATACCATAAACTATACTCTTTTGTATAAAAATACTTGCCCGAAAATGTGAAGCTAAACAAAAAATGTTTATTAAAAATAAAGGGGCTTATGATATTTAGACATTTTGAAGGCTAAAATCTTTTGTATACAAAGTCACATGGTATTATATGGTTATAAAAAAAAAAGTTGTTTCCAAAAAATAACTGTGATTAAACCCAAAAATTTGAGGCCACCTGCCCTAATTGGAACGGGGCCAAGTGCATTTGAAAAATATTTTTGTAATTTCTTAGATCAAATTGAAATTCATTATAAAATTTCAAGTTTCTTAAAAAAATCATATGTACTTTAGAAGTTATGGTCATGTAAAATTTAGAACCTCCTCATTTTTTTGCAAGGGGGAGGGGGAATAAAACGTTTTTTCGTCATAACTTTTGAACTGTTATATATTTTTTTTAAAAATTTGAATTCTGTGAATAAATTTCATTTACTATAAGATTATACAAAAATACTTTTCAAATTTTTTTATTTGCCCTGTTTGGGGTCGGTGCCCCGAAAGCGTTCGGGGTACGACGTATTTTCTATGTTCCCATAATAACTTTTTCTTTTTTTTTAGGCAGAACATCATTATTTGATTTTGGTATTTGTATGTAAAAATTTAAGG